TATTACCATTTTATTACTTTATATTATTATTAAACAGTATTTTATATTATATTTAAAAATATATATGTGTGAAAAAACAATGGAGCACTTCATAAAGGCAATCTTCCTATATACTGTTCACCTGTTTCTGATACTGTTCTTTGTAGACTGATTAGTACTTTAGATTGGAGTTCAGAAATTAATGAAATTATTTATCAATTGTATTTTGTAATAATGGTAGTTAGCATGTCAGTTATGTTTATTGGGTGACCAAAAAGGAGGTTTTGTCTCTTTTTTTTTTCCTCTGTTTCTTTCTAAGAAACATTATGAAGAGCCACCACTGCTAACGAACTGCAAGTCCCAGAAATTATTGGCTGACGGATGCAGAAGCTGAACAATAACTTTCCCTGCTGGCGAACCAAGTACATTTAGTGCTGGAACAACAGTTTCAATTGTACTACTTCATTTTGAAATCAGTTCCACGATTTCATAACTAACACTATTATAGAAACATTACCTCCTAATCCCGGCCTGAGACGATTATCATAGCCATCCAGAAGTCGGTCTAGAATTCTTGTGAAGATGGTAATGTTATTTTTTGCATCATCATCCAGATTGTCCGCAAGCACTTGCCTAGGCATAAATAATTTCATAGTTAGGCATTACTAAAATATTACTAAAATATACCCTAAAAGGGTGTACCGTTAGATAACGAGAATAGCAAACAATATAACTATTCACCATCACAATAAAGATTAAGAAACCATTGCCAGTTGATCAGTTTGGTAAGTTACAAAGGCTGAAGGGTTGACTTACTAAGAAGCAATTTTGCTTTCACTCAGCCCACTGACACTTTGGGCACTTCAAACCCCTAATTATGTGCAGAGGAGGATACTATTTATTTAAAGCCCCCGCACATGACGTGTTTTACGTGTACAAAGCTTCACTGGGCTAAGTGAAAAATGTTTTACTTTTGTAAAATTACCCCTTTGATGTGTTGGCTACATTAATAACATAAAAATCCTTTTTGGTAAATAGCCCCCTAGAGGTACCTGGACCCCAAGCAGTAGGATAATGGATACATCAAACAAGAGTGTTGCAGCTCTTGATGTCCACTAAAAGTGCAACTTTAAACCGCACCATTGGGGGAAAAAATAGGAAAAACTCAGCCAACTGCCATTTCATACAAAGCAGACGTGCTCTGTCAGTATGATGGTATGTGTTTATCCTGCCTTTGCCTGGCTTGTTTTTATTTTGACAGCTACATAACAGAGCAGCATTAGCGGAAGCCAAGTGCTGGATCACACTTTTTTTTGGGTGGATTTACTATTAGTTATAATGCTTGTACACAATAACAGGCTTTTTTTATATGGGAATTATTATTCAAAAGCTGCTTTTATAACAAAGTCTGATAATACCCAACTTTTGGCTGAAGAAGGATATATACACTCAAGTTTGTGAGGCATGCATATTTGGGAAATTCACTTTTTTTTACATATTATACTGTATCTAAGGAAACAGATACATGTTATTAAAAACACAAAATCACATTTTATCCAGTAAGGGGTTATATATTTAGGATGTTATTAATGCCAGCCCTATATATGCAATGAAGACACAAAGCCAACCAAATCAAGTAGATCTTCTTTTCCGTTTCTTCCTCACTATAATTAGCTGCTTAAATTACATTTTTACATGATGCAAAACATCTGCCCTTCAGTATATCATCCCTTATTTCAATATGGATACATATTTACATTTATATATCGTGGATATATATTTATATACATATTTCCAATTATACATATTTACAAATATATATCATGGATCGCTCTGAAATCCTAATTGATATATGGCTATATTTAAATATTTTGGTTACAATTATTGCAGTAAAATTAGCATTTCTGATATATCCGGAATGCTTCATATAGAAGTTCACATTGTTACAAAACAAGTACAGGAAATGTGTTTGGCACCCAAATATTTATCCCAAAAAAACATATTTTCCTTTTTTGAGCTCACAGCACTGAAAACTATTTTTAAATATTCACTAACCAAAGGACATCATAAACATCAAACAAATATTCATTCTGAATTACAGAATTTTGTTGCTAAAAGTCAGAACTCTCATAAGAAAACAAGGAGCCTTGGAATCTCATGAAATCATATCATTTTATTAAAATAAATATCAATGCATAAAACAATATCCATTATATACGCAGTGCAATGATTAGCAACGTGTGAGTAATTCCTAAGCCACCAATATCTTGTTTTTACACTAACCTAATCCCATACCAACATATTGCTCATAGTTTAAAAACGATGTTCTTAAATGTTTACATTTTGATTCTATGAATGTATTTTAATACACACAGAGGTATAAAAACACGTACTGTGGTAGTTATACAAATTATGCATTAAAAATGTTACAGCGTTTCCCATTCTCTAGTCCTTTTAAAACTTTGAAATGCAAATATTGGAAAATGTACAATGCTTTACAAAGAGACTGAAGATAACCTATATAAAAATGACATTTCCTGCTTTCAACCTTGAGGACAGTTCTGTCATATTGAGAGCCGCTCAACACATAAAGTCTGCAAAGCAGCGGTTTGATTACCCCCTTTTGCTGAGCAGACGTAAGGAACATCAAGATAAATATAAGTTGTAAAGAACACTCGCTATGTATTTATGTTGCCATTATGAAACAAGAAAACAATCAGACACAAACTTGACTAATAAAGCTCCCACTGTTTTATTGAGAGCGAGCTAGGCATTGTATGCTAGCTCCATCTAGAGGTTATAAGAATACAGAGCCCAATACCTACTTTTCTAGGGACAAGACAATTGCCAACAAATGGGAACGCATCAACATATCAGCAGCAACTCCTGACCGTATGAGCACATTTGTCTTTTCGCCATGTCATGTGTCTTTCAATGCCTTCAATGTTAACATGGCACGTGTAAACATAATGTCCCTGTTGCCTTCAATTACTCTCCCTATACTTTTTCAACATTGCCTGCCACCGGTACTAATGTCAGATAAAGTAATTTGATTTGTGAGCATAATTAACCCATGCTCACCAGGGATGGCTGCCTGCGACAGATAAGAGCTATAGGGCATCGGGCACCCCTTCACCATCAGCAGCTCCCATCATTTAAACTAATGAGACTCTACAGTGCATGCATTTTGCTCCAATTAGCTCTTCATTTCTAAGGATCAACGTCAAACAGGCTTTAATTAAAATACCAAAAATGCCTATTGTCGGGGCACAGGAGGATGATCAGCACTGTGGAAAGTCCATCATGTAAGATAGAGAAGACATGAGCTCACCTTGTTGGCAGCCACATCAGCAGGGTGAGGACCAGCACTAATGTCCTACTATAGAAGGGCAGCCTGCTTTCCATACTGGCTCCACTGGAGTCTTTATATAAGAACCTGAGAAAGAGAGAGAGAAAATCAGGCAATTGGGATGCACTCAGAAGAGACAAGACCACCAAGCAAGCAGAGCTAGCAGAGCAATGAACTTCCAATGCAGGTAGAGCGGTTGGGCATGCATGGACTGTTGGAAAGTCCATAAGGACTGTAGTGAGAGCTCCTTGCACCTGGACTGTTCTCTGTCACAATGCCATGTGCTACTAGAGTGAGTAGCCCACTTGTCAACACTGTGCCATTGCTTTACACATGGACTCTGCCCAGGGACTGGACTCACATCAGAGCCAAGGAAGAGTGCCAGAGCACCAGGGATAAGGATGTAGCATGAACGGGCAGCTAGAGAGTGTATGGAGAGCACATCGCCGGGCTCTGGAGCTGGGTCACACTCACAAGTTGTCATAATGAGGGGCCCCCCGTTATATTGTTCTCTACCTGGAGGAGATGCGGGGATCGTGCCGGCGCGGAGCCTGCGGAGGATGCTGGAGGTGCAGAGAGGCTGCAGTAGAGGCTCGCTGAGAACAGATCCTGGCTGCTTTGAATGGAGGAGGGTCTCTCTCTCTCTCAGCCGGGGGCGAGCTGATGTTTGCTTGGTGCCCGCGCCGGAGAGAAGCGGGGGCGCGCCTGACTCTGGGAGTTCCCCCTCCGTATAGAGGGGAGAGATGAATTGGCCGCGGAGCGCTCACGATGTTATGCTTCCCCTGCTAGTACGTGGCTGCGTGTGAATGTGACATTATCCAGCCTGGCTGTCAGCTCCGTCCTTACACCTCCGAGATCTGCAGCGTGAGGAAGCGGGGGCGCCTGCGCCGTCATCCAGCCATGCTGCAGCATCCCTGCACACTACTGTGACTCCTTCAGACATTGGCATGATGCTACCGATCCCCTGCTCCTGCCTCCTCCATGCATAGACCCCAGACATTGGCATGATGCTGCTGATCCCCTGCTCCTGCCTCCTCCATGCATAGACCCCAGACATTGGCATGATGCTGCTGATCCCTTGGTCCTGCCTCCTCCATGCATAGACCCCAGACATTGGCATGATGCTGCTGATCCCTTGCTCCTGCCTCTTCCATACATAGACCCCAGACATTGCCATGATGCTGCTGATCCCCTGCTCCTGCCTCCTCCATGCATAGACCTCAGACATTGCCATGATGCTGCTGATCCCTTGCTCCTGCCTCTTCCATACATAGACCCCAGACATTGGCATGATGCTACTGATCCCCTGCTCCTGCCTCCACCATGCATAGACCTCAGACATTGCCATGATGCTGCTGATCCCCTGCTCCTGCCTTCTGCGTGCATAGACCCCAAACATTGCCATGAGGCTGATATGGATTCTGCTGAACCCCTGCTTGATGCCTAAACATATAAAATTGCAATGATGCTGAAGCTGATGCATCCTGCTCCTACCTCCCCCAATCCTAGACCCCAGACATTGCCCTGATGCTGAACCCCTGCCTCCTGCATGTCTAGACCCCAGATATTGCCCTGATGCTGAACCCCTGCTCCTGCATGCATAGACCCCACACATTGCCATGCAGGTATTTCCATTACATTTTTTCACCTGCCTGCATGATGGAAAGTGTCATTTCTGCAACATAACTTTTTCTGTTTACATATGTTGCATTGGCAAGTGATTGAAATAAAATGGTATTAATAGTACAGCTAAATGTTATGCAATTCCACATTGCTAGTATGTGACGTCTGGCAGTGTGCATTCAGTGGGCTTGTGCTGCATAAAGAGGTGTAGGGCCATAAAGCACAATGAAATAAAGCATGCAAACCCCTAATGACATGTAAATAAATGAGTGTAATTGCAATTACATGAAGATAGTGGGAGGATGCAGTATCTAGCCCTTTGCCCTATGGTGGTGGAAATACACTTTAGTTTTGTATGTAAGTGGGTGGCTGAGACTTTTCCTGTCCTGAGCTTGTTTCCTTTGTTTTGGGCACGACAGCTTAGTTTATAAACTATCTTTCTTATGTCTTTATTTTCACAATTCTGGGGTTTTGCATAACTAATAATTGTTGTTATTATATTCCAGCTATTGTGCTACCAATGCACAGTATACTAGTTGGTGGTATTAACTGGGAAGTGAGTATAGTTATAAAAAAAATGTCCTATGTCTTTTTTACCCTTTTTTGGTTTTTGCATAATTATGACTTATTATTGGATTTCAGTATGCTAATAGGTATTTAGTAGCGGTGCACCAAAATTAAATTTTAAAACTGAAACCGAAGATTCAAAAAAAATGTCAGACCAAAATTAAAAATTAAAAATTATTTTTTTTCTAACCTTTAAAAAAAAAAAAAAAA